GATCTCATCATACAGAGCTATTTGGGTCACCATAGGTGTAGACTGAACCTTATTTTGTGTTTTGCAATATGAAAAGGTGCAGGATTGTTCACCAGATGACTGGAATATCTCTATTTAGAAATAAATAATCATTCTAGAGTGATTGAGGTGAATTTTATGGGCGTGCATCTGCATTGAAAAGGAAAAATGAAACCTTACTCAGGTGGTGCAACACTGGTTACGGCATTTGCTTTGGATGGCATTCAGATTTGGCTGTGTGGTATATTGTTGAACAATGTTTGTGTGTCCATTTGTGTTAGGGGTGCACATCACTGGAAATACGTGATACTGCCTTTGCAATATGAAAAATATGCAGGATTGTTCACTAGATGATTTGAATATCTCCATTTGGAAAGACATGATCATTCTAGAGGGATTGAGGTGAATTTGTAGGGAGAGCTGCATTGAAAATATATATATAAAAAAAACTAACTGTTGGAACCTTCCTCAGGTGGTGTAACACTGCCAAAGGTTTCCAAAATAGCTTTTTTTTCTTTTCCTTTTACATGGGATGGCATTCAGATCTCGTCCTACAGAGCTGTTTTTAGTAGCCATAGGTGTGGACTGAACCTCTTTATTCTACCTCTATGTTATATTTTTGAACAATGTGTGTGCCAGGACATGCTATGGCTGCACAATGTTATAAATAACAAACTGCGATATTTTGTTCTTCTGCGATATGAAAAGAGGCAGGGATTTCCACCAGATGACTTGAATATCTCAATTTGGAAATAATCAGTCATTCTAGAGGGATTTAGGGGAGTTTGTAGGGGGGTGCATCTGCATTGAAAAAAAAAAAAAATCCAGTTTGAAACCTTTTAACGCTCGTTAAGGCATTTGCTTTGGATGGCATTCAGATTTGGCTTTTCACTCATCACTCTGAGCTTTTTTCCTGCTAAATTAAATCAACAAACAATTTATTTCTGCAGCCAGCTGTATAGATTGAATTAGTGTGTCATGTTTATGGGCTGTGTTCGTGTGTCACTGCATGCCAGGGCTCCACAACATCGGAAATAAATAAATAGAAAATAAATAAAAATCCGGTTTGTAAGCTTTCTCGGGTGGTATAACGCTAGTGAAGGCATTCAGATGTCACTTTTCACTGATCATACAGAGATTTTTTGGCCCTGATTTAATTAATGTAACAGATTAATTGTGTTGTCTGAATCTGTGTGTTATATTTATGATAAACGGCTGCACGGAATGAGAAGTAACTAAAACTGCGATATTTTAAAGAATATTTTTGATGAAACGAGGCAGGGATTTCCACCAGATGACTTTAATGTCTCTGTTAGGAAAGAATTATCCACTCACTAGAATGATTTGGGGGGGATTTTTGTGAAGGAGTTGCATTATAAATGAAAATGAAAAATAGTTTTAAAAAAAAGCAGTTTGGAACCTTTTTCATTTGGTTTAACACTGAAATAGCTTCTTTTTTTTCCCTTTGCCTTGAATGACATTTGGATCAGGTAGAGTTTTTTAAACTGCTGATTTAAATGGTCAAACTAATTAGTAGTGTTGTCAACAAGTGCAAGACATTAGTGATGGAGAATCTGTTTTCACTCATCCTTTCTGTAGCCTAAATATTTCTATACAACTGATTTACTTTTGAAAACAGTTTTTTTCTCCTGGTTCTTGGTCATTTTGCTGTGCACATGTGAAGCCAGTTACCTCTTAAATTAGAGTAAATGATGTTCTTTTAGCCAGACTCCTCTCTTAAATATTAATCATGGACAACAGGAATGGTTCATTTTTGTATCAAGCAGCCAAAAAGTTGTAGTGTGATGTGTTTGCGTGCGACTATTGCAATGTCGTGGCTCAAACGATATATTAGAAGAAGCAACCTCACTGTGATGATCAGTCAACACAATGGGAGGAATAACAGCATCATAAAAGCGAGAAGCGTTGTTCTATGTTCTCGTGTCAGTGTTCAGCAGCGTGTCTGATGCGACTGTCGTGTCTCTGCAGGTTGGTCATTTTAGCCGAGCGGGAATGACTGACACCCCACCCAGTGATGGCCCCTCGCAGGGAGCTGAGTTTGACATGATTGGCGCTCTGGACTGGAAGGACGGTATCGCCACGCTGCCCGGCAGTGACATCCGGGTAATAAGAGATTCATCTGTCCCCGCGATCTGTCTTAACTGTGGAAAGTCAGAGGGGCCTGAAATTAAACGTAATTAGAAACCGATTACATCTCAGGGAGAGGTTCCTACACGAATTCAACCCTCTGAGCTCCAAGCAATTTCTGGGCTTTTTTCTTTTGCTCCTGTCACTTTTTCCTCACTGTGGGCCTAATTTCCCACAGTTTCATGTTGTTCTGTACTTTTATGGAAACAGCACAACCACGACTAGAAGTAGAGAGAACTCAGAAAGGTATATCACAATTTGAAGCTTATTTCTGGCTATTTTCAGACAGAAATCTGATGGAAATTCCTGTTTTTTTGTTTCATGACTGTTAATCAGCTGAGTCACTAATTGTTTTTCAGTTGCAAGGAGAGGAGAATGATTTGTTTTTCACAGAATTTGGTGCAAAGGTTGAATTTCTTGGTGTGATTCTGATGAAAGTGTATAATTTTAAGCTTAGATTTAGAGTTAATTTGCCCAATGGAACCACTCGTCACACACGATTAGTTCAAGGATCGTCCGAAAGTTGAAAATACGATGATTCTGTCTGTTTTTACAGTTTCTGGCTCTGATAAATACAGTAATGTTGAGAGTTTTATAGAATTTAACATCCCTTTCAAACCTGCTAAATTGGTTTATGGTTCAAGGGGTAAGGTTTTAGCATTTCTGGCTCTAATAAATGGTGTCATTTTCATGTTTTTTAAATGATATTTCAAACCCAATGGCAGGTTTTGGGGTTCAGAGGGTGAAAGAGTATAAACATTAATCAGATTGTCCTCTGCTGTCTGAACTGATCAGGAGCCCAGATGAATTGGGATCACCAGCATGTTTCAGCAGCTACTTTTCATGAATCCTGATGAGCGTTTTTGTGCCTTTTCAGTTCCGCATGACAGAGTTTGGGACTCTTGAGATCGTCACAGACCTGGAAGTCAAAGGTCAGGACGCCGAGCCAAACTCTGGGACCTTGGACCCAGCACCGTCTCACACTCCCACCCCTCCACCCGAGGGCCAATCGCAGAGCGGCACAGCCACGGCTCCGGCCAATCAGAGCAAGCCAGGATCATCTCAAGCCAAAGGTATGGCAGCACATGTTGTGGTTTTTAAGAATTGCAGTGTTTACTTACTTTTACACTCAGGTTTTGTACCGTGGACAGCCTCGGTTTTAGCTGCTCGTCTTTCTTCTATGTCTTCTAGCTCCTGGTCCTGTGCTTTTGTCTTTAGAGGAGGGTCCCAGTATGGAGGGCCCCAGCGTGGAGGTCGGTCCCAGTGTTGAAGTCGGGTCCAGCGCAGAAACGGGTCCAAACGGGGAGCTGTTGAGATGCCGGGCCTGCGGCGGTCGCGTTCCCAGAGATGCCCTCCTGCAGGGCAAGTTCTGTAGCTCCGTTTGTGCCCAACCCTCCAGCGGCAGGTAAAATCACACATCTGGTGTTCTCCATTCCCTCTCTTTGCTGCCAGTCAGAGCGTTCTGATGTGTTGTGTCGTCTTTTTACAGATCCTCTCCGGGCGAAGCTCGAGAGAGTCAGGCAGTGGAGGGCGAGCGGCTCGGCAAACGCGTCCGCAAAAAGAGGAAGATCTACATGGATTCTGGTGACGAAGAGGAGGACAACCAGGAAGAACCAGAGGTGAGGATTGTACTCTTTAACAGTGTTT